TTTTTTTTGTGTGTGTGTGTGTGTGTGGTGTGTTGGAGAGTGTTGGCCATAGCCACTTGTGCTACTAGATGGGGTGTGCAGGAAGTAGATGGGAGATGCAGCTACTGGCAAATTTGGCAAAATGCTCGGTCTTTATGTTAACACCCCCCCCGGGCCGGCCCCACCTACTCCCTGACCACCGCCTACCGGTAGTATTAGGCCCGGGGGCAAGTCCCACTTACTCTGATTCTTAATTTCTGGCCATTGATCTTCCGAATCTACGGTCGGAAGTAGAGAATTCAGGTAAGTGGGACTTGGCCCCCGGGGGCGACATGTATCTCCTGTGAGAGGTAGCTATGCGTGCAGGTGTTCCCTGTATAGGCTTCTTTTTTTTTTTTTTTGTGTGTGTGTGTGTGTTAACAACCCTGTATAGGCTTCGGGGTAGCGGTAGTTAGAAAGTGAAAGGTGAAATTGAGAGAATAATATAGGTTCTCGCCGCACGGTACACGAAACGAAAACGAAACGAGTGCATCTGCCCTCGAAAGGTGGCAAAATACCCTCGTTACTATTTATAGCAAAACGATGAACCTGGCCATTTTCTGGAGGAAGATGCAGTCGTTTCGTTTTTCGTTTCGTCTCCCGTGCGGCGATGCCCATAGCTTAGGTCTAAATCCCCGCGAAGTTTACCGAGACTGTGGGCCTCGCCGCACGGCAGAAATAACGAAACGAAACGATCACCAGAGTTGCGAGGCCTCGCGAAGCCCTGATCCACCGTTTCTCTTCGTTTTTTGCCTCACCGCCCCACACAGCACACACGAAAACTCTTGAGCGACAACGCCCTGGCGAGAGGAGTGCGGGATTCACTTCGCTAGGGTCCAAATTTGTGGACGCTACGGTCCAAGTTTTTGGATGGACCTCGGTTGGAGCGATTCGTGAGATTTCGCAGCTCCTCCACCCTACCAGGGGAGGACCTACGAGTTCGCGAGTGCTGCAGGCAGGGAGGAGTCGGCACGCTTGTGAGGGCTTGCGAACTTGGAGAATGACAGCATTCACGAGTTTTTCCTGACAGAGGTCGTGTGGGCGCTATGCGGCGACTCCTTCACGAAACGAAGTCGTTTTTTTTTCCGTTTCATGCACCGTGCGGCGAGGCCCTGTAGGCAATAGCACCACTAACACTGGTGGGGAAAAAAAAAAAAAAAAAAAGAAGAAGACTGTAGGCAATCGAGAGTATCGAGAGTATGGGTCAGATCCCACAACCCTGGATTATTCATTTTTCACCCTCGATTACGAAGATCAACGGTCAGAAATGAACAATAGGGGCTAGTGGGATCTGGCCCTATGTCGAGGGAGGCCTCGATTTCACTGACAACTCAGGATTTTCGAGCTGAAGCGAGGGGAGTGGAGGGAGGCCCTTCATGTCGCCATGGTCATCATGATCATGCTTTATCGAAATTCTGAGTTGCAAATGCCGCGAGTCAGGTGTTCGACGCCGGTGCGACGGTATTTAACGCAGGGTGACCGAGACGTGCGGCACTTGTCAGATCATCCTGCCGGATGTCTGTCGACGCTAACCTAGAAACTCCGTCCCATCATCAGCCGGTCATCCAGAGGAGAAGCCCTGCAGGGATTACTCAGCTGCATCGATCACTCATTCCTTGGATCAGAAGTCGGAGAAGCGGTGCCAAGGCCGGCACCCACCCACCCACCCACCCACCCACCCACACGCGCACACACACACACACACACACCACACACACAGAGGCACACAGCACACACACACACACACACACACACACACACACACACACAGAGAGAGAGAGAGAGAGAGAGAGAGAGAGAGAGAGAGAGAGAGAGAGAGAAGGGTGGCAGGTATTTCAGAGTATGCGCCTTGCTGTCTGCTGCCTTCCCCTTGTCAGCCTTTTCGTCATCGTCCTGGTTGGTCGCCAGCCATAGCGATCCGTCGAGCTCCTCGCTTGGCTGATGAAGAGCAGTACTCTACTCTGCAGTTAGCAATCGGTGGTATTACTGTACCTCCATCTACGGTCGATTTCCGTGGCTCCGCCCTTAGGCTACCTGTGCTGCAGCGTCGAAGGCACGAGCGAGGCGTGATCAATCAACCTGCTCGCCATCGTCTCTGCGGATCGTGATCCTCCGCGTCTCCACAGATCCATGTGACCGTCGAATGTTGCCTCACCGAGCTTTCGCCGAACCTGCGGCGAAACTTCGGCGAACTTTCTTGCGCAATCCCCGCGCTCCGGTACGGCTTATGGGTTGGGATTAGATTGGATAAGATTTGATCTGATCAGATCGCATCAATTGGAGGAGAGGACGGGTGGCCGGTCGCGATGACCGACTGCACGGCATCGCCGGCTCGGGACCCCGATTTCTCCTCGTAGAAATTGATGTTGGGCTGGCCTCCCTCTTTTTTAGCAGGTCCCCCCCGCACAAAAACCGCATAAAACCCCCAGGAAAACCCGAAAGAACCCCCCCCCCCGGCCCTTGAATAGACCGTGTTGCTTTCTTTCTTCTTTTGCTCTTTTCTTGGCCTGCCTCCTCTCTCTTGCTGTCGGCTCGCAGCCCTTTGTCTCCTGTTTCTTTTCTTCTTTTGCCGCTGATTGGCGGTCGGGATGCCGCAATGATTGAGACGAAGTTTCGTTGAAAGCTCCTGTCAGGAAGCGCTGAGAGGGAACCAGTCGGACCTCGGCAGAAGCCGAAGGCATTTTGTGTGTGTGTGTGTGTGTGTGTGTGTGTGTGTGTGTGTGTGTGTGTGTGTGTGTGTGAGAGAGAGAGAGAGAGAGAGAGAGAGAGAGAGAGAG